CCTCTGACAGTGTGGCACTCCCTCAGCACTGACCCTCCGACAGTGCGGTGCTCCCTCAGCACTGATCCTCTGACAGTGCGGTGCTCCCTCAGTACTGACCCTCCCACAGTGTGGCACTCCCTCAGCACTGACCCTCCGACAGTGCGGCGCTCCCTCAGCACTGATCCTCTGACAGTGTGGTGCTCCCTCAGTGCTGACCTTCTGACAGTGCGGCAGTCCCTCAGTACCGACCCTCTGACAGTGCAGCACTCCTTCAGTACTGACACTCTGACAGTGCGGCAGTCCTTCAGTACCGACCCTCTGACAGTGTGGCACTTCTTCAGTATTGACCCTCTGACAGTGCAGCACTCCCGCAGTCCTGACCTTCTGACAGTGCGGCACTCCCTCAGTACTAGCACTGACCCTCCGACAGTGTGGCACTCCCTCAGTACGGACCCTCTGACAGTGTGGCACTCCCTCATAACTGACCCTCCGACAGTGCGGCACTCCCGCAGTCCTGACCTTCTGACAGTGTGGCTCTCCCTCAGTACTGTAGTATCTGTCAGCCTTGTGCTTTTATTTTGTATTCTTGTCTTTGGAGTACAGTTTGAATAGCAGTACTGGAGCTAAAGCTGGACTACTGCTCCTTGTTAATTTGCATGTCTTGAATAGTCAGTGGGGGAAAGCTGAGTGTGCTCTGGTCTTGTGTGTTTGCATTCTGTGAGCCTGTCAATGAGAGAAGCTGGCTCTGACTGCGTTACATTGATATACAGAGGATCCCCCACTGCTGCCCTGTGATGGGTACCTGCAGTTGGAGGCTCCGACTTGCTGAAGAGGTCCCTCCATGCAGAGTCCATGAAGGAGCTGTTGTACTTGTTGTCAACCGATGCCAAGTATTTTGCGAGAGGATGAGAGCCTGAGAATGACAGAATCAAGAATAATTACCAGGCTGAGTGGCTGTGTCGGTGAGTTGCTTTGTGAGGACAATGCTGAAACACTTTGAATTTTTGTTATTTTAACATTATACCCAATGCACCAGGAGTTCAGAGAAGTGAGGATCAGCATCAATGCCAGGGCCATGTGGCTGGATTTAATTTTACTGTTGGGGTTACGTAGCCTGAGGATGTGGGTCAGGTTGGTGATCAGCTATGCTTTTACTGAATGACTGAACAGGTTCCAGGGGTTGAAAAGCTCTCCTGTTCTAATTATTTTATTACATTACCTGCTTTTGCCATTGGCTCCCGTCTGTTCTTCCAAGACATCTTGTGTTTGGCGTTTGGTATGCTTGCCTTTATTGGTCAGTGCATTGAGTATAGGAGTTGGGGTGTTATGTTGCAGCTGCACAAGACATTAGTTAGGTCACTTTTGGAATACTGCATTCAATTCTGATCTCTGTACTATAGGAAAGATGTTGTAAACTTGAAAGGGTTCAGAAAAGAATTACAAAGATGTTGCCAGGGTTGAGCTATAGGGAAAAGCTGAATAGGCTGGGGCTATTTTCCCTGGAGCATTGGAAGCTGAGGGGTGACCTTATAGAGATTTATAAAATCATGAGGGGCACGGATAGGGTAAATAGCCAAGGTCTTTTCCCAGGGTGGGGGAGTCTAAAACTAGAGGGCAAAGGTTTAAGGTGAGAGGGAAAAGATTTAAAGGGACGTAAGGGGGAACATTTTATGCAGAAGGTGGTGTGTGTACGGAATGAGCTGCCAGAGGTAGTTCTAAGGTTTTGAAGTAGATCTGTAGCTCGGGTTGTGGGTGTTGAGGTTGGTTGGCTTGCCAAGCTGGTTTGTTGTTTTGCAGATGTTTCGTTACCATGCTGGGTAACATCCTCAGTGCAGCCTCCGATGAAGTGTCGGTGTGTTTTCCCGCCTGGTTTTTAAACTCTGGAGTCCCGTACAGGCACGGGAATTCCTAGAAGCCCGGCACTCCACGAAGCATGCTATTAATAAACACACAGAACTCGATGCCATATACACTCCACTACGAAGGAAACCCGGAAATCCATTTCAACGGACCCCAGAGTTTAAAAGCCAGGCGGGAAAACACACCGACGCTTCATCGGAGGCTGCACTGAGGATGTTACCCCAGCATGGTAACGAAACATCTGTAAAACAAGAAACCAGCTCAGCGAGCCAACCAACCTCAATGCCAGAGGAAGTGGTGGAGGCTGGTACTATTACAACATTTAAAAGGCATCTGGATGGGGACATGAATAGGAAGGGTTCAAATGGATATGGGCCAAATGCTAGCAAATGGGACTAGACTAATTTCGGATATTTGCTCAGTATGGACAAGTTGGACTGAAGGGTCTGTTCCCGTGCTGTACAGCTCTATGACTCTAAATGGGACTAGATGAATTTCAGATATTTGGTCGCTATGGACCAGGACAGACTGAAGGGTCTGTTTCCATGCTGTACAGCTCTATGACTCTAAATGGGACTAGATGAATTTCAGATGTTTGGTCAGTATGGACCAGTTGAGACTGAAGGGTTTGTTTCTGAGCTGTACAGCTCTATAACTCTCTGATTGTATGACATCAGGAATCATTGCAGTTGGATTGCCGGTTTTAGCAGTGTTGGAAACTAGGCCAAGGGAAAGAGATTGTTTGTTATATATTATACCAGAGTTTCATTGCATTGTACAGCACAGGGCAGGTCCTTCAGCCCATTGTGTCTGTGCTGGCAGAAATACACTAAATCCATATTCTTCCCACTTTTCTGCACTAGGCCCATAGCCCTGAATGTTATGAGACTTCTAGATGCCATCCAAGTACCTTCTAAACTTTTTTTGAGGTTACCCTATTCAACTCCCCTCCCAGGCAATGCATTCCAGATCCCCACAACCCTCTGGTGAAAATCATTTCCCTCAAATCCCCTCTAAACCACCTGACTCTTGCTTTAAATTTATACTCCCTAGTTCTTGAACCTTTGGGGAACAGCTGCTTTCTATCCACCCTGTCCATGCCCCTCAGAATCTTATACACCTCTATCAGGTCACCCCTCAACTTTCTCTGCTCTAAAGATAACAGCCCAAGCTAATCCAGTCTCTCTTCATCACTGAAATGCTCCATTCCAGGCACATCCTGGTAAATCTCCTCTGCACCCCCTCCAGTGCAATCACATCCTTCCAATAGTGTGGAGACCAGAACTGCACACAGTACTCCAGCTGTGGCCTAACCAAAGCCCTGTACAGCTCCAACATGGCCTAAGCTCTTTTAACCTAAACTTGCTTATTCTCACCCTCACATTGTCTGTTACATCATTGATGAATATCACAAACAATAAGGGAACCAGCACTGATCCCTGAGGTACACGACTGCACACCGGGCTCCAGTCACACAAACAGCCTGCTACCACCACACTCTGTCTCACTAAGACAATTCTGGATCCAACTTGCCAAGTTACCCTGGATCCCATGAGCTTTTACCTTCCTTAGTTTCCCCTTTGGGACCTTGTCAAAGGCCTTGCTGAAATCCATGTAAACTGCACGAACGACCCTCATCTACACACCTGGGTCACCTCCTTGAAAAATTCCACCAGATTTGTTAGGCATGACCTCCCTCTGACAAAGCCGTGCTGACTATCCCTGATCACACCTTGCGTCTCCAAGTGCAGATTAATTCTCTCCTTCAGAATTCTCTCCAGTCGTTTCCCTCCCATTGATGTGAGCCTCACTGGTCTGTAATTCCCTGGTTTCTAGCTACCACTGTGCAGTTTATTCCTAAACTGTACCCACAAAGACTCATTTAATGACCCTTCAAAGATATTGTCCCTCCTAAGTGCAGTAACTGACTTCTAAATTAATAATGTGGCACCACGTTCGCTGTTACACCCTCCCCTGTCCTGCCTGAATATACTAGAATGTTGAGTTGCCAGTCCTGCCCCTCCCTCAACCATATCTCTGTGATGACAACAACATCCACAACTCCCCATGTCAACCCATGCTCTTAACACATCTCTCTGATCTCTAAATCTCTAACAATGTTCCACTTGTTAGACTGATTAGTAAAGTTAGGTCACATGGGATTCAGGGACAGCTTGCCAATTGGATACAAAATTGGCTTGATGGTAGGAGACAGAGGGTGGTGGAGGAGGTAGTAGGAACTGCAGATGCTGGAGAATCCGAGACAACAAGGTGCAGGGCTGGATAAACACAGCAGGCCAAGCAGCATCATAGGAGCAGAGAGGCTGACGTTTCGGGCCGAGACCCTTCATCAGAAAAGGGGGACGGGAAGGGGGTTCTGAAATAAATAGGGAGAGAGTGGGAGGCGGATACCCACCTTCCTGCAAAAATGCTATCCCCTATTCCCAATTCCTTCGCCTCCGCCGCATCTGCTCCCAGGATGAGGCATTCCACTCCCGTACATCTCAGTTGTCCTCGTTTTTCAAGGACCGTAACTTCCCCTCCTCGGTGGTCGAGAACGCCCTCAACCGTGTCTCCCACATCTCCCGCACCTCATCCCTCACACCCCGTCCACGCAATAAGAACCAAAAAAGAATCCCCCTCGTCCTCACGTACCACCCCACCAACCTCCGGATCCAACGCATCATCCTCCGACACTTCCGCCATCTGCAATCCGACCCCACCACCAAAGACATCTTTCCCTCCCCACCCTTATCTGCTTTCCGGAGGGACAACTCTCTCCGTGACTCCCTTGTCCGCTCCACACTCCCCTCCAGCTCCACCACCCCCGGCACTTTTCCCTGCA